ACTGGAAACCACTTTGGTCAACTGTGCTGTTTTTACAGTTTTCCCCCTTTATCTCTTTTATTGAGACAGCCATGCTGTTTTTAATCTGCTCTATAAATAAAGTTGGATTGGAAGTACTGCATGGTAGAAATATACCTGACTCTAATAATATGTACTGCTTGGTGAAGTGACATGTACATATGTACGTATTTGTACACGTATGACAGTAAAAGTGTGTTACTTTGTGTACCACCCTCCTGTGTCTTCAGTCTCTGCAGTGTGTTCCTCTCAGCAGGATGTGATGCAATAACAAAGACAGGAAGTCTAATGGCTCACCTGTCACCTGCAGCAGGAAGTCTTTGGTCTGCAGTCTCGACCCAGTCTTGTCAAACACCTCCAGCGTGTAGTTTCCGGAGTCTTGGGTCTGAAGTCGGCTGAACTCGAGCGAGCCGTCAGGGAGCATCGAGCAGCGTCCGTGGGAGCACGTGCTCCGGTTCCAGTTCAGCAGCAGGTGAGGGATTTGAGTCCACCTGACGTCGTACCCGCGTGCCCTCGGGTCCCCCTGCAGGCCTGAGGCCAGCATGACTTTCGTGCTGCTGTTGGCAGACACTCTGATGATGTCTGCAGCGCCAGCTGGGGTCAAAGGTCACAAACATTTCATTTTCAGTCTCGTTATAACCATTTATGCAAACACTACATTACCCATGAACCCCTGCTGCTGCGCTTATAAATCAGACCAGCATCTGATTGGTTAGATTTTTAGGGTATTTTTGTAGTTTTCTGTTCTGCAGACACAGAGCTCTGTGATTGGCTGTCATCAGAGAAGTGCATCTTGGGAGTTGTAGTTGTAGTAACCTGTTCTTTCATGTTTTGCTGAAATCTAATGATCCCAGTTCATCGACTCATTTTCCCCTCACCCCCAGGGTGGGGGTACCTGAGGAGTCTTCCTGTTAAAATGGAGTTTTTCCTTTCCGCTGTTGCCAAGTGCTCGCTCATAGGGGGCCGTCTGATTGTTGTGGTTTTCTCTTTATCGTTGTAGTGTCTTTACCTTAAAATGTAAAGCGCTTTGAGAAAAAACTAGAAACTGAGAACTAGAAAAACTTGGAAGCTACCAGAGAAACATGCAAAGACACAGCAGGAGAGAACACAACCAAGAACAAGGCAAGACTGACAATAAATAGAGATTGAAAATGTGACGTCATTCAGGGGTAAAACCGC